ACACTGTCTTTACACAGCTGAGGCCTTGGTGTGCCTTTCCCGGTCACCTGGTCTAAATCCCTCCTCCTGTGTCCAGTGCCTGTTTGCAGTCACTCTTTCGGGAGGTCTCTTCATTCTGCCACAGACTCCGTTCCCCTGAGCTGCTCATGGGCCCACTTGCCCACATTTCCTTCTCTAGACTGTGATGTTTCCAGCTTCTCACCAGCATGACCGTGTGTGTGCATGTGCGTGTGCATGCTTTTCTAGGTGGGAACCGTGAAGAAGGGTCACAGGCTCTAAGAGGGCCACCAAAGGCTGTTTTTATGTGAGACGGTCTCGGTGTATCCCGGGCTGGCCTGGAGCTCACTGTGTAGCCTGGGATGATCTCGAACCTTCTGACTGTACCCCCTCCACTGCCTCCACCTCCCAGCACGGGAATTCCAGCTGTGCTCCACTGTGCCTGGTTTTATGGAGTCCTGAGCCAGCTCTCCAGCCCTGGACATATGTTCTTACTTCCCTGGCACATAGGCTTCTTCTGGAATTTACTTTGTAATTAGTGTGGCACATCCCCAGTCCACCTTCCCCCAGGTGCACAGCGGCTGACCCAGTATCGTTCACTGGTATCACTTCACACTGTCACCCCGTTCTGTCAGATAGCTCTGTCTGTGTCTAGTGTTCTATTTGTTCTGAGCCTTTTTGGAATTGCGTAGAAGAATCCATCTGTCCCTTGTCAGCTTTCCTTTAACACCTTGCTATAGAGTGGGTGCGAGAACCATTTGGAAAGTTCACAGGCTACAACCACAGACTCTGCTTGTCTGTCTAGAGCAGCAGTTCTCAACGTCCTAATGCTGTGACCCTTTAATAGAGTTCCTCATGTTGTGTGACTCCCAACCATAAAATGATTTTTTTTTTTCGAGACAGGGTTTCTCTGTGTAGCTTTGCGCCTTTCCTGGAACTCACTCTGTAGCCCAGGCTGGCCTCGAACTCACAGAGATCCACCTACCTCTGCCTCCCCAGTGCTGGGATTAAAGGCATGCGCCACCACTGCCCGGCAAGAATTTGCTACTGTTAACTATCTGTGTTTTCCAGTGGTCTTAGGTGACCCCTGTGAAAAGGTCATTCAACCCCACTCCCCACCTCAGGGATGGAGACCCACATCTTGAGAACCGCTGGTCTAGATGGATAGAAGGTCAGCCATCCCCACCTAACCCTGCTGGTTCTGTCCCAGAGGCTTCCGTGAGGGCCAGCCAGGATGTCAGCACAGCCCATAGCCACCCAGAGTCTCCAGCGAGGCTGTAAATCTACCTCCATCCCATGGTTGGCCTGAGGCTTCAGATACTGACCCGTGGTTTCTTACCTCAGACAGAACCATGAGGAGGCCACAAAACTTTTTTTCTTTAACCTAATCATGAAGGACACACAGTCATGTCTCCTTACCGTTCAGGAGTGTGTTGCTAGGTCCAGCCCATAACTGGAGAAGGGAATTGGACCTCTTGAAGGGACATGTGAGAAGACATTGGAGCATGTTATTAAACTGCCCAGAAGGGTCCTCTCTGCTTGCTCCATGCCCCCCTTGTCCAGTTTTTATAAATTCATTCTGTTGTTATCATCCCTTTTTTTTTTTTGGTTTTTCAAGACAGGGTTTCTCTGTGTAGTTTTGGTGCCTGGCCTTGAACTCACAGAGATCCGCCTGCTTCTGCCTCCAGAGTACCAGAATCAAAGGCGTGCGGCACCATGCCCGGCCACAGATGTGCTTGTAAACATGTCTTGTTAGATTCTGGAAGAGGATGTATATATGTATGGAAAACAGAACCAAAGCACAAAACAAGGCCAAAGTCTCCAAGTTAATTTCCTGGCCATTTTCTAGCTTGGGACCTCCCAGGAAGCCTGTGCATCTCCTAGCAGAGAGTGTTGTTGGCTGTCTCTAGAGTGTAGTTTCCTATAGCAAGACCAACACATTGAGCATTGATCACTCTATATAGTCACATCACTACCACCACAGTAAACACGCAGAGCCGTGGACCCCAAAGTGACTCAGTTTCCTTGGTAGCTAGTCCTTCACTGGATCACTGATCAGCGCTCTGTCAAAAGTTTATATTTTCCAGACTGTTACAGAAGTATAACCATAGGGCAGCTCCCCTCCCCACCCACCCACAAGGTCTCACTACATATCCTTTGTTGGCCTCAAATTTGCCATGTAGATCAGGCAGCCTGCCCTTGAACTCACAGAAATCCTCCTGCCTCTGTCTCCCAAGTGCTGGGATCGAAGGTGTGCGCCACCACACCCACCACTGTACCCGGCCTCAGTACTGCCTTTTGAGCGTGGCTCCGTGTCCTGTCCAGAACAGGTTGGTAGATCTAGGGTGGCATGTGCGTTCATGTGTGTCACACACTTTATCCACTTAGGAGTGAGGGGGACTTAGGGTGGTTCTGAGATTGGGTGATGATTAACAGATTGCTTTCAATCTGCATTTTTCTAGATAAATGTAGTCTCAGCTTCTTTTTTTAAAATTTACTTATTATTTTATATGTGTTTTGCCTACATTTATATATGCATACCATAGGCATGCCTGGTACCCACCGAGGTCGGAAGAGGGCATCGGATCCCCGGGTCTCGAAAATTATTAAGGTCCAGTCTTAATAATCTTCTTCCCAGGAGGCCAGAGAAACTACAAACAGCACAAATTATTTTTGGGAAACAAATCTAAGCACACCGAGCTCTTAGTCCGTCTACCTTATTCCTGTGGGATAAAATCCTGTCTACACAGCTTCAGTTCTGCTCTCGTGCCTAGCTCCTGTCTTCCCTGATTTCTCTCTACATTTATCTGCTGTCCCCTCTAAGTTCTAACTCAATTCTCTCATCTTAGTTCTGCCCCGTCTTGGTCTTTCTCATCTCGTTCTTCCCTGCCTGGCTCTTCCTCATCTTCCACCTCATTCTTCTAGTTCTCCAGTCAAAATCCTCCTCAATCTCCGAGGTTTACAGTTACATACCCATGCAATAGCAGTGCTGTAACCAAAGGAAGGTCACCAGGCTTGAATTCTTACAGGGTCATAAAGGCAGACAGGAGTTTTCCTCCAGCAGTGACCATCAGGCTTTCTTTTGTAACCCAAAAGGGGAGTGGTAAAGGAGGAGGTCTACTGAGAGCTAAAATAGGTTAATATATCAGAAGAACAGAATTTATGTGCTCAAACTACATTCCTGAAGGTGGTTAGGTAAATGTTTGGAGTCTACAATGTTAGTATAAGTACCACTAAGGCTGTGTAAGAAAGGAGGGTCCGAGCTTAATTTGTCTTAATTTAGGAGATTGTTTGGCCTTGGATGCTTGATAGGTATTTCAGATAAAATACACTGTTATGAATTCTTGAAAGCATACATAGTATATAAGAAAGTCATTGTAGGAATCGGCTAATATATAATACTATAATATTATAATGTATTATATATATTACATATAATAATATATATAATATAAATATAATAGCAAATACAAAAGCTAAAATATCACCAAGACTTCTTAAACCATGGCTTGACCTTCGGAAAAGTCCTTGACCTTTCCAAGTAGTATCTTTTATGGTAGTAGCTGGATTCCATTATATTTTCCTGTGGCTTGCAGCACCCTGGGACTGGAGTTACAAGACAGTTGTGAGCCATCATGTGGGTGCTAAGACTCGAACCCAGGTCCTCTGCAAGAGCAGCCAGTGCTCTTAACTGCTGAGCCAACCATCCTTTTAGCCCAGGTCTCAGCTTCACTGTTAGGACTATAAATCCTCCTTCTAGAAGCTTTCTTTCAAAAGAATATTTTGGAGAATCCCAACATGTCCAATGTATAAAAGCCAAGCTGCAGGGGTAGTTTGAAGGTCGCATGCTGGGTGCCAGCTCCAACCCTCAGAGCCCTGAACCAGTCAGAGTCTCGGATCTCTTTGGCGGTGCTGTTAACATTTTGGTAGTTTCCAGTTTTATGAAGATTACGCTCTTGTAGCTCAGACTGTTTCATCAGATCTCCTTCCAGAAGTACAGTGTTTGGATCAAAAGCATATATTTTCAAAGGAAAAGAAACCTTGATTGAAAAAACTTCCTTCTTGGACTAGGGGTGTGTGGCTCAGTGGTAAATCACTTCTCAGGTTCCAGGTCCAGGATTTGATCTTCAACACTGTTTTTGATTTGGTTTGGTTTTTTTGAGGGGTGTTGTTTTGAAACAGGGTTTCTCTGTGTAGCCCTGACTGTCCTGGAACTCACTCTGTAGAGCAGGCTGCCCTCAAATTCACAGAGATCCACCTGCCTCTGCTTTATGAGTGCTGGGATTAAAGGTGTGTGCCACAACCGTTTGTTTTTTAAGTATAAATATATATACGTGCATCATTTTATTATAAAAACAATGCATATTTAGTTCAGCCATAGGAATGTCGTAAGTTCTTCGTTACAACGTGGATATTGAAAACATGGTTCAAAGTGAAAGAGACCTAGCACAAGGCCGTATGATTCCACTCAGTGAAACTGTCTAAAAAGCAGTCAGCGAGACACAGAGACCGGGAGGAGATTGGTGGTTGCCGGGGCTGGAGGGACGAGGAGGGGGCTGACTGCTGACGGTCTTTGGGGTCATTCAGACGGTCTACAGTTAGTGTTGCTGGCTCATAACTCTCTGAGGAAAACCCACCGAGCCATGTGCTTTATTATATGCAAACTGTGTCTCAGTAATAAATAGAATGCCTGTTTATCTTAGGAACAAAATCCCATAGTGCAGAAATGTTTACAAATCAAAGCCCTGTGTCTCTCCCTCCCTCAGTCCCTCCCCCTTGTGTGCTCACTTCTGGACTGGGCGCTGGGGTCCAGACACAATGAGAGCTCATTGGGGGGGGGGGCAACGTTAATTCAGTAATCCCAGGCATGCAATTTCACACCCTGACAAGCGTTACAAAAGGAAGCGCAGGAGGGCTGAGGGCCGGAGGAGAGCAGTGGGGTCCTGATTTCGTCTGGGATTGAAGGAGAAGGCTCCTCAGGACAGAGCCTTGGGGTGCATAGAAGTTGATCCAGAGGAGAGCCTTCGGGCTGGTTCTCGGGAGAAGCGAGGCCGCCAGAGGATGGTGGGTGGAGCTCAGAACCAGGAGACTAGAGAAGGGCAGGAGGTGGAGCTGGGAGGTGACCGTGTGTCAGGCCACTCAAGGCCAGCCTTGGAGTGCCTCACAGCGACAATCGCCTCTTCTGCTGAGCAGAGGGAGCCGCTGCGCCTCCCACGCTGGGCAGAGCTTGTCTTAGAGACGCCCCGGGTACTAGTTAGCAGGTTTGGGGGGCGGTTTCCAGCATCTGGGGCGGTGTCCGAATAGGGTCCTAAATGGGAACCAGGTGGTTGAATACGTGAACCTGTGGGGGACATTCTTACTCAAATCGCTGTGCTCCCCACCACTGTATTTTGTCTCCCACCATCCTGAAGTCGTACACACCTCCTTAATACCCGCTTCGGGAGTCTGTCCAGCGAGGAGCCCAGCAACCCTATCATTTCACGGTCAGGAAGTGGCTTCTCGGCGTTCTCCTTGAGTCCACTGTGAGTGTTAAGGAAGCTGAGGCCAGAGTGACCCCCTTTGCCTTTCAGAAGCCCCTGAATGTGACGGTGATCCGCAGAGGAGAGAAGCAGCAGCTCAGACTGACTCCGATGCGCTGGGCAGGAAAAGGCCTGCTGGGGTAACGTCTCTGCTCTGTTCTGGGCCAGCACACTGCCTGCCGATGGGGTGTCCTCAGATGCGGCTGCAGGCAGAGGCAGCGAGTCCTCGGGTCATCTGAGTCTCGGCTGCCTTCCTTACCTGAGTGTCGCCCTTAAGAGAAGGGAAGAGGGCTGGTGAGGTGGCTCAGCAGGGAACGGGGCTTCCTACAAACCCTGTGGCCTGAGTTTGGTCCCCAGTATCCACAGGGTGGAAGGAGAACTGATTCCTGCAAGTTGTTCACGGCACACACACTCACAAACTCTCTTCTGTACACAATGAATAAACGGAAAAATACAGTTTGGGGCTGGAGAGATGGCTCAGCGGTTAAGAGCACTGGCTGCTCTTCCAGAGGACCCGGGTTCAATTCCCAGCACCCGCATGGCAGCTCACAGCTGTCTGTAACTCCAGTTCCAAGGGATCTGGTACTCTCACACAGATATACGTGCAGGCAAAAATACAAGTGCACATAAAATAAATAAATCATAAAAAAAAAAAGACAAATACAGTTTTTAAAAAAGAGGAAAGTTGACGCAAAGCCCTGCTCACTGCCAGTTTTGCAGGATGGAGCCGACAAGCTTGAACCCTGTCTCTGTTTCCTTTTACAGCTGCAACATTATTCCTCTCCAGAGATGACTGTCCCCAGGGACCTGCAAGAAAGCTGCCTTCAGCCGGGCCCTCCCCTCGGGCCTGGTAGGGATTTCCTCGTTCTCTGCGGTCTCTGAGGTGTAAGGATCTGGAAGAGAGCAGTGAAGCCTGAACAGACGTGGAGGAAGTGCTCTGGCCGCCTGGTGTACTCTCTGCATTGAGGCATTATTAAAAATGTGATTTGTGCCTAGCTAAGTCTTGTGCAAATTAGGCCGTAGCCCTATCTGGGAATTCTCTACATTGAGTTGGAATGATTCTGGCAGGTAATGATCTGACTTGATGTTCTTTTTTTTTTTTTTGAGACAAGAGTCTCCCTGTGTAACTCTGGCTCTCCTGTGTAGATCAGTCTGGCCTTGAGCTGGCAGAGATCCTCCTGCCTCTGCCTCCTGAGTGTTGGGATTAGAGGGGAGCACCACCATGCCTGGCTAGACCCTGAGGGGTATTTATTATACATATGTGATTTTTACTGAAGGTTTTGAGACTTGCATACATTCATACAGTATATTTCTCTCCTCCTCTGTCCCTTCAGTTCCTCCCAGATCTCCCCTCATATCCACTTCCCAGCCTCCTGTCCCTTTTTAAAAATAAATAACGTACTGAGTGCCATTCATGCTGCCCATATACTGACGGGTGTGGGGTCTTCCCCTGGATGAGTGTGGTCCACCTACCAGGGTCCTCACCTCGAACAGCCACAGGGGCTTGAGTGCCCCAGGGTCTCCTGTAGCCCAGCCTCAGATTTGAACATGGGGTCCTTCAGCCTCCAACTTCCAAATGCAGTATCACCTGCCTAGGCATTTCCTCTTGTAGGGGGTGGGGTTTGGAGACAGGGTCTCTTTGTGAGTTCAGACTGACCTTAAATTTGGGATCTTCCTGCCTCATCTCCTAAGGGCTGGCATTATGGTGTATGCCACCAAACCTGGCTCTTTGTATGGGTTTTCTCTTTTCAAAAAAACCTGGTTTTGTAGTGGTAATTGTGACCATTGTATCATCCCACCTGAATTTCCTGCGATCTTCAAACCAAGCTCAGAAGGAATTGGAAAGAAAGTTGGGGGACTTGAGGGATGGCTCAGAGGTTAAGAGCACTGACTGCACTTCCAGAGGACCTGGGTTCAGTTCCCAGCAACCACATGGTGGCTCACAACCATCTATAAATGGGATCTGGTGCCCTTTTTTGGCCTGCAGGCAGAACACTATATACATAATAAATAAATCTTTAAGAAAAAGAAAGTTGGGCAAAGCAAACCGGTTCCTGGGCTGAAGTCAAGTTGATTCTCGTGCTGGAAACTGAAGCCTGGAGCTTATACTCTGGGCAAGGGTTCACCGTGGGAACACTGATGTCAGCAGCTGTCAGCAGCTGGCCAGTCTCTGCTTGAAGCAGTACTGCCCTGGTTAGAGAAAGCACTGGAGTTCCGTGCATCCTCCGAAGTTGGCTCTGTGTATCCACCATAGTTCCATGAAGAGATTAGCAAAGGTCAGGAGGCCTCACAGGTTAACCCGCTGGAGAACAAGCTCCCTGTAATAACAGCCTGCAGATAGCTCCTGATTGGGCTTTTATAATGGAGTCCTGGCCACACCCTGGGATCAGCAGCTTGGGAAGTTAGGGGTGCTAGAGGTTGCGAAGGTGAACATGTTTACTGATGCCGCTTCCTTTTATTTTCTGTCTTTTGAGATGGTAAAATTGGTGTGGGTGACCCTTAGTGACTGTTTTTCTTCCTTTCTCCATGTGCCCCAGTTACTTCCCCCAGTTGCTACCAGTTTCTGTTTTGGATGTCTGGCACGTTCAGAGAGAAAGCTGGTACCCTTGGACTGGATTGCTAAGGATGGAGGCAGACCGCTTTCTCTGAGGGCCGTCAGTATTGGCCTGTGCCTCCTGCCTTGAGTCCTGACACTCAATTTGAAAGCCTCCCCAAACTGCTCCAGCCAGCCAGCCTCATGTATTCCTCTCCTGCAGCCAGACGTGCTGTGTTTACCAGTGTTTGGTGTTGGAATTGTAGGGTACAATTCCAAGTATTTTCCAGCCTCGTGATAAGTTCCACACCATAATAAACACAGCTTGAACCATTCAGTTCCATCCTTTTTGAGATCTGCACATGATCACCAGGCTGGGGCATGGGCACTTGCTGGGAGAGTCGTTCATATTCTAAAGTGGCGGCAGCAGGGTGCTCTGAACCAGGCCCGTGGGCCAGTTTCCTGCAGGACAGCCACCTTTGGGGCTCGTCTAGGAGTCACATTGGCGTGAATGACCCTGAAGGATTTAACCAAGGTGGGTTTGTAGAAACTGATAACCAAGATCGTGCACTCCACATAACTCCATCCCAGTTAGCTAAACTTCTCTGCATACTGTGCCCTGGTGAGAAGGTGTGTGTGTGTGTGTGTGTGTGTGTGTGTGTGTGTGTGTGTGTGTGTGTGTGTGTGTACACATCTGCAAGGCCAGGAAATTGGGTTTAGTGCTGAGAGAATTTTTTTTTTATTTTATTTTATGTACATTTGTATTTTGCCATGAGTGTTGGATCTCCTGAAACTGGAATTACTGACAGTTGTGAGTTGACCTGTGGGTGCTGGGAATTGAACCCGGGTCCTCTGGAAGAGCAGTTGGTGCTCTTAACCTCTGAGTCATCGCTCCAGTCCCTGGAGCTCTTGTTGCATGGCTTCCTGAAGCGGCATGAACTCTTGTCTGTCCACCCTGGAATGACAGCAGACTGAAGGAGCAGCCCACTCAGATGAACCTGGTGAACCAACCAGTGAGCCTTCTGGGGTCAGCAGTGAGAGCTGCACTGCGCTGTGGATGTACAGCTTGCAGGCATCTCCACTCACGACTCTCCTTTACCCCAGTCAAGTCTCGTGTAGCCCAGGCTGACTTTGAACTGATCCTTCAGTCTTCATCTCCCTGGTTCCGGGTTCGAAGGTGTGTTACATCACATCTGGCCAGGAGGCTGCTCCATTTTTTTTTTTTTTAATTTATTTTGACTGCTTTTATGACTTAGGGAAGAACTTCAGGGTTGTTGTTTTGTTTTTCTGAGTTTCCCCGAGCATGCCCCCCTCCCCCGGCCCTGACACACACATACCCCGCCCCTCGCCGTTTCCTCTACCAGCCAAAATGTCCCAATTTGGAGAAAACAACTGCAAACATTACTTCGTTTCATTTTCGTCTAACTTTGGAAAAGTCAGAACCGCCAGGGTTGGGGGACGCTCTGTCAAAGGGTCGCTCAGGAAAGAGTAAGAGGGTGAGCCGCTCCGCCGGCAAGGGGCGCAGGCTGGTCCAGCTGGGCCTGTGACCACCATCCTGCTCCCTCCCTTTCCGGCCTGGCGCACGAAGCTGTTGCCATAGAGACGGAGCTTGGTTGGCAACCGTCACTAGGGAGCGCGGACAGAAGACGCCGGCCGCTGGGGGAGTCCCGGAGGCAGGACGACCCAAGGCTTTTGAGGAACGAAGAGGGCGCGCCCCTGTAAGTGCAAAGTGGAGGGGCATGGCCCGGGCGGGGGTTCCGCCCGGCAGGGCGAGGTTGTGGGGCCTGGAGCACCCCAGAAAGAGCAAGTGGCGGCGCCTGGACCTAGGGGCTGCCCCTGCCCCTGCGTTGCCTGGGCATAGAAGTTGTCCCGGCTAAAGCGCTGGCGAAGTAGACATCGGAAACCATAGCAGCGCTTTTTCAAACAGAAGTAAATTCTAGCTCTAAGTCACGCCCCTCAGAGCCACGAACTTTTTTTTTTTTTAAAGAAAGATTGGGCTGGTCTAGAACTCACAATCATCCTCCTGCCTCAACCTCCTGAGAGCTACAGGTACAGGTATGAGCCCAGCCCTGCTCCTAAATTTTTGTTTGTTGTAGGGGAAAATGAGAGAATGTATCAGAGGAATTAATTTAAATTTTGTTGTTGTTTTCGAGACAGGGTTTCTCTGTGTAGTTTTGGTGCCTGTCCTGGATCTCGCTCTGTAGCCCAGGCTGGCCTCGAACTCACAGAGATCTGCCTGCCTCTGCCTCCCAAGTGTTGGGATTAAAGGCGTGCACACCACCACCCGGCATTAATTAAAATTTTTTAAAAATTATTTTTATGTGTCTGTCTGGTCTGCATGCATGTCTGCACACCATGTGTGAAGTGCCTGCGGAGTCCAGAAGAGGGCATCAGATTCCCCTGGAACTCCAGTTACAGATGTGTTGGAACTAGGAATCAAAACTGGGTCTTCTGGAAGAGCGGTCGGTGCTTTTAACCACTGAGCCATCTCTCCAGCCCAGAACTAAATTTTTAGTTTTATGTATTTGTTTGTTTGTTTATTGGGGGGACACATACTATGTTGTATGTGTTGAGATCACATGACAACCTTTGGGAGTTGGTTTCCTCCTTCCAGCATGTGAGTCCTGGGGGTCTACCTCAGGTTATAAGACTTGGGGTCTCATCTACCCCCCCAGAGGACTTTTTAAACTTTCAAGTTCTTTTGAAACTTCCTCTTTTTGAAACTACAGGATGTCAGATACAGAAGAAAAGAGAGGAGAGGAAGAGAGAGGTGAGGAAGAGGAAAAGAGGAGAGGAAGAGGAAGAGAGAGGTGAAGAAGAGGGAAAGAGAGGAGAGGAGTTATTATGGAGATAAAAGCTGCTTTCATCTCCATGACACCTCCCGCCACCCCCTTCTGCAGGCTCGGGCTGCATCTGTACTGAACACTTGACATGTGCTAGCCCAGTCTTTAAATCCTGCTAGAATTTAGGATTCTCATTTTTAGTTTTACCTGTGAGCAAGTTTGACCTCGGAAGGAAGATGTGACTTGCTCCTGGTCACAGAACAAGGCTGGTTGGTGGACGTGGGAGTAGAGGGAACCTTTGACTGTAAAGCCCACACTCCGATCACCAGCCCGCCTGTCCCTGACGTCTTTGCTAATGTCTGCCTCATGCATTGTGCTGCCTGTGGAAATATGAATTATTTAAAGTGAGTTAGAAGGCGCTAAGATCATTCCTAGAAAGATGGGAGGCCTGCAAGTCGATATTCTAAAGATTTTTAAGATTTGAGCTAGGCTTTCCCAAGAAGATGGCATCCCTTTCACTCCCACAGGAAGAAACCGGAGCTGCTTCTGTCCATTTCAATATGTTAACACATCAGGCAGCTGAAGCAGGAGGCAGAAGGGTCTGCTGAGTCTGTCGATTTTTTTTTTTTCTAGAGGAAACTACAGGATGTCAGATACAGAAGAAAATCCCCCCGAGGAAACAGGAGAACGTGTAGACACAGAAAAAGAAGAGGAATATAATCCAAGTTCTGAAGAAGAAAATCTGCAGCAGAGTCTAACCGAAGACACAGTGTCATGGGAGGAGCCTCAGGAGGAGGAGAGACAGATAGAAGAAGGAAAGAGAGGGGAGGAAGAGGAAGTGAGAGGGGAGGAGGTGGAAAAGAGAGAGGAGGAAGAGGAAAAGAGAGGGGAGGAAGAGAGAGGGGAGGAAGAGGAAAAGAGAGGAGAGGAAGAGAGAGGTGGAGAAGAGGAAAAGAGAGGGAAGGAAGAGAGAGGTGGGGAAGAGGAAAAGAGAGGGGAGGAAGAGAGAGGTGAAGAGGAAAAGAGAGGTGAGGAAGAGGAAGAGAGAGGTGGGAAAGAGGAAAAGAGAGGAGAGGAAGAGGAAGAGAGAGGTGGGGAAGAGGAAGAGAGAGGAGAGGAAGAGGAAGTGAGATGGGAGGAAAAGGAGAGAGGTGAAGAAGAAAAAGGTGAGGAAGAGGACAAGGAGAAGGAAGAGGAGGAGCGTAAGGAGGAGAGGCAGGAGGGAAAGGAAGAGGAGGAGGAAAAAGAGAAAAAGGGAGGTCCTGGCATAAAGCAACCGGCAAAGAAGTCTAAAAAGGCGCTCAACTTGGATGACATTGTCATCAGCTCTGAGTCCTCCACATCCGCATCTTCACTGGTGAGTCCACACTGACTCCTCCACCCAGTCATTCGGTTGTGTTAGTGGTGCACTGGGTGTATGGCAGTCGGGCTACGGGGTGCAAAACCAAAGTGAGCTGGAGAGATGACTCGGCCGGTTAAGAGCCCGCCCTTGCTGTTTTTACTCAAGGCTTGAGTTCCCAGCATCCATGATAAAGTGTCCTATAACTCCAGCACCAGAGAATCTGATGCCCTCTTCTGTGCTCTTGAGTCCCTGTATAAAACACACACACACACACACACACACACACACACACACACACACACACACTAAAAAGAAAAGAAAACCATATGCTCTGTACAGTAACTGTGAGATGCCAAGGAGGGTGGTTTAATCCAGTTTGGAGGCTGGTCAAGGCAAGCTTCCATGAAGTGTGTACCTGCCTGGGAAATGGCCAATGGATTAGCTGAAGATGAGACACACTTGTCTTGGGACCAAGTTCCCGTGACACAATAGTGGTATGGATTTCCCACAGCCTGCTCCCCAAGAAAGAACTCAGTGCTGGTTCAAAGGCGGACCTCCCAGTGGTGCTGAGAAGGGCCTACCGTGTGGCTTTGCTGGGAGGCCAAGAATTAACCTGAACACAGCCATGATTCTTTTTTTTTTTTTTTTTTTTTTTTTTTTAATACAAAATGTCCCCGGCACAGGGCTAGAGAGGATCAGAGGTTAAGAGCACTGGCTGCTCTTCCAGAGGTCCTGAGTTCAGTTCCCAGCAACCACATGGTGGCTCACAACCATCTGTAATGAGATCTGGTACTCTCTTAGGGCATCCATGCAGACAGAATACTGTAGATATAATAGATAGATAGATGATAGATAGATAGATAGATAGATAGATAGATAGATAGATAGATAGATAGATAGACCTTAAAAAATGTCCCAGGATTCCTTTTAAACCACCTGTTATGACACTGGCTGACTAGGAATGGAACAAGATCACCATGGGAAAATGTAGCCTGGGTACTACATACGGTGTCAGAATCTTTTTTTTTTTTTTTTTTTTTGTTGGAGCTGAGGACCAAACCCAGGGCCTTGTACTTGCTAGGCAAGCACTCTACCACTGAGCTAAATCCTCAACCCCTCTTTGGTTTCTATTTAAAGTCTGAAACCTCAGAGAGTAACGAGCCGTCCACACACTCCCAAAGTCCTGAAGTGAGCGAGATTTTCAGAGAGGTCCGTCCAAGAGTTGAAGTGACTGAGGCACCCGCCATCCCGACTGAAGAGACAGAGATGGAGTCTCTCAGGTGGAAGTTGCTGCAGGAAGTTAAGGAGGAAGTTAACAAGGAGGCAGAAGTTTCAGCCCAAGGTCGGAGAGACAGAGAATCCAGAACCTCTGGAAGGATGTCCTACTTCCTCTCGGAAGACGGACAGATATCATACCAGTTCAAAGGGAGTTCCAAGGCGTCCATGGTGTCCACCTCCACAGAGGACACCTTGTTCCAGAAGGAAGAGGTCTCCAAGGTGTATCCTTTGGTAAGTGTCCCCACAGTGTGTCATTCCTGGGTTTGGACAGTTCTGTGAGAGAGGGCATGTGCATGTCTGGGAAGATCCAGTGTGAATGTGCTTGTGTGTGTATGTGTGTTGTGTGTGTGCACCCACATACATGTGGAGGCTAGAGGATAACCTTGGATGTCTTCTTCAGCCTCTGTTCACCATTATAATTATTACTTTTGTTTTGTTTTTTCAAAACAGGGTTTCTCTGTGTAGCCCTGGCTGTTCTGGAATCCACTATATGAGCCAGGCTGGCCTCGAACTCAGAGACTGGCCTGCCTCTGCTTCATGAGTGCTGGAATTAAAGGCGTGTTACCATCACTGGTGGGCTTTTTTTTTTTCCCCCATAAGGTTTCCCATTGGCTTGGAATTTGTATTGTAAAGCGGCCTGGGCTGCCTGGCCAGTGACATCCACCTCCAAACCCCCTAAGATCCCCCATCTTACTGGTTAAGCACTGGGGTTACCAGCCACTCACTTCTGTCATGCCTAGCTGGTTTTTGTTATTTAGAGGGGTTCTGAGGAGTAAACTCAGTCCTTTCAGTTGGCAACTCTCCGACCCAAAAAAAACAAAACAAAAACTTTTTAGGGTTTGGGGATTTAGCTCAGTGGTAGAGTGCTTGCCTAGCAAGCACAAAGCCCTGGGTTTGGTCCTCAGCTCTGGAAAAAAATATTAATATATATGTGTGTGTGTGTGTGTGTGTGTGTGTGTGTGTGTCTTTTAAAGTTCTGTCAAGAGCTGGGGGGTTGGGGAGACACCCATGTGTTAGACCTGGAACTGGAAGGCAACATCTGGGTTCAATTGCACTGCTCAGCAGGCCGGAAATTCCCGGCATAGTTTGACTGTTGCCTTGGCGACTCCGAGCGAGGGAGACGCCGCGGTCTTTCCCTCTCTCTCTTCCTTTCCCACCCTGTTTCTCTCCTTCCTCCCTCTGCTCGCTCTCTCTCATCTTCCTCTCTGTACCCTCTTCCTTCTCAGACGCTACCACTGTTCCTCCTCCGATGTCTACTTTTCGGCCTCCGCTAGGGGGAGAGCTTTGAGAGGTCCCCAGGCCCTCATCAGAAAGCGACACATCTCTGGCCTTCCCTAGGAATCTGTCCTCGCTGCGGCGGCTGACATGCGTCCCAGGGAGGCGCCATCTGCGAGGCACAAAAATATTGTCCTTTGCCCAGCACAGGAGAAGGAGGAGGCCCCTCTCCCACTGCTTTCCCCGTCTGCTGCATTGTGGAAATCGTTTGCTAGGATTCATTCTTGCCTTTTGCTTTTTTTTTTCCCCCCTTTATCCTGCCCCCTTTCTTTTCCTGAGGATCCATGCCTTCGGAAGATTGACTCTACCTGTGTAAAGAACTTAGTCCCGACCCAGAGTGAGCCTTTTCCACACAGCTCACGTTAGATTTTGGTTTTTCTGTTTTGCTTTGAGACAAGGTTTTGCTATGTAGCCCAGGCTAGCCTTGAACTTGCAACGCTCTTACCTCAGCCCCGAGTTCTAGGATTATAGACATGTACAGCTTTGTCAATAGTCACTGGTTTCCTCCACCACTCTCTATTTATTTTTATTTAAGGAAGAATTTATATTTTAAAAAAAGGAGGAAAGAATTTATAGTGCATTTATGTGTGAGGGGGCATGCACAGCCTCCAGTGCACACGGGAAAGCCAGAGAGCATCTTGCAGAGGTCAGTTTCCCCTTCCCGTCTTGGGGGTCGAGGCACTGAACCGAGGTTCTCAGGTTTGGCGGCAAGCACCTTCACTCACTGAGTCTTCTTGCCCATGTTCCACTTAATTTTTCTGAGAGCCTCTCACTTAGCCTGAAGCTCATCATTTGTTTGTTTGTTTGTTGTTTGAGACAGGGTGTCTCCATGTAGTTTTGGTGCCTGTCTTGGGATCTTACTCTGTAGACCAGGCTGGCCTCGAACTCACAGAGATTCGCCTTCCTCAGCCTCCGGAGTGCTGGGATTAAAGGCGTGCGCCGCCGCCGCCGCCGCCGCC